ACAGTATGTGTTACCATTGTCTATGGGTAAATCTATACAATGTAATGAAAAAAAAATTGCACTGTATGTGGACTGAAACAAAAATGTTAGCAATTTATCTTCCTTTATGTAGAACATTCTCGAATGAATGCTTACGTCACAATTGAAATAATTACATCAAGGCTGCTCGCTGCTCCTCTCATGGGTATGCTTATGGCACACAGAAAAGTCTTTGATCTTACTGTAATTGTGCTAGAGCACTACATTCTCTCTCATCATTTCCTTCAGATGTACAATTCTCAATTGGTTAAGTGGATTCAAACCCTTTCTAAGATCCCATTACAAAAATTCAAGCTGCTTATAAGCAGGGAAACTGTATCAAGCAGTGATGCTGTATCAATTGTGTCAATAGTCAGATGAATATTATGTCATATAGAGTTAATGCATGAAGATTCCTACACAATATAAGTAACAGTTTACATCTTATGACTTTTCACCAAAGCAAAGACGTGGATGTTAAGACATACTAAATGCAAGCTTTCAAAATGTAATAAAGTTTGAGGTTAAAATAGTATCTTGTTTCTTCTTACATGCATTTGGTTAAGGGTAGCGAAATCCTTGAAAGAGGATATTTCTTGAGAACACACTTGTGAGGATGACTAAAGTAGAACTCCAAGTTTAACAGATTACTTACTAGACACCCTAGATTCTTTAGTGAAACTGCACAATTGCACTCAAACCACAGTCACATTTGTGCATCTCCATGCAAAGAGAATTCCTTTATGTTTCCATAGTTCAGACAAAGTAAATAATCCCAAAATGTGATTTCTTATTTTGGTGTAGAAAATGCCTAACATTCATTCTTGCTTTCAACTGATTACAGGGCAAAGTTTAGGACTATAGTCTATTTGACTTGAACACATGTCATCTCTAATTTCTGCTATAACTATCACGTATCTGCACATGACCTTGAGAAAGTGTTAATTGGTTTTTAATTTTCATGTGACCAAAGTTGCTTCTAGAAAAACATGGAAACTTGGAGAGCTGTAAGTGTCACTTCTAAGGTGTGAGCTGGAATAAGACAAGGGAAACACCTGCACAAATTGAACTATTTTACTTTAGTTCTTTCATATGCTGCCTGTGATTACTTGAAACTTTCCAGTGTTTTGTTATAAAATCTGCAACACAATTGTATGATTCCCTTTGTATTAAAATCATGCTTACCTACAGGAAGAACCTTTTTGTTCCTCTACGTTTTTCTTAATGTAGTACTCTATATACATTTGTTAGCATTGCTGCCTTGCATTGCTGGGGGCCTGGGTTTAATTACTGAAGTCCTACTGTATCCATGTGGAGTCTGAATGTTCTTCCTGTGTTCATTTGAGTTTACAAGTGCTCTGGTTTCCTCTCACTGTCCAAAGACATGCTGGTAGCTTCTGGTAAATTGCTCTGGTGTAAGTGTTTTTTTTGTCTGTGTGTGCCATGCAATGCAATAGTGTCCTATGCAGGGTGCATCCCACTTTGTGCCCAACATTTCCCTGAATAGGCTCCGGGCCACCATGACCCTGAATTGGATAAAAAGTTATTGAACATGATTGTGACGGTACTTATAATTGCGTGCTGTGCAGTCCTTCAGGTTTCATTGTGTCCAGCTGTTAGAATCTTTGTTAAATGTTAATTTATCTGTTGGATGAATGTCATCACATGTTTCATTTTTATCTTTCACTATGACAAATGGAGTTTTAGAGAGCAATTCAGGAGGAAGGTTAGATTCTAATCTTGCCTGGCTTCACTTTCCTACATTTATATTTCTTCTTCTGAACCTCCCTTTTATACATCCTTGTGGCAGCTCCCTGGTTCATTCCTTGCCATAGTATGGAGGGATACGGACAGCTTTATCCTTATGGTGAGGCTGCCAGTCCCTCAGCCAGGTAAGTTATTCTAAACAGCCTCTAATACATTTTGTCTTTCTATCACATATAAGAATGGAACTACTGAATAAAATGCCTTTGCAATATTTATTTTAGCTTATTTGATTTGTGTGAAAAATGAGGGGCATTTTATTGCTTGAATAACACTCATACTGAAACAACTAACACAGGGCACTACCTCAGGCAATCAATACCATCAAACTCCATAACAGAGGTTCACAAAGCTATGACCACACTTAAGGTGAACATACTGAGTTTCACTCCCACAGGGGTCCTGCTACTGGCCTGAAATATACAGAAAATTCAAAATCAAAGGGGAACTGACAGTTTTATGAAGAGCTTTTCCACAGTTGATCACAACAATTAAAATGCTATGAAATTATGTAAGTATGTAATCTCACTTTAATAGGTACCTTACACATATATGTGTGTTCACCCATTTTCTTTCTCAATATGCACAGATTATGCCTAAAAACATGTTTAAACAACTGTTTCAATTAAATGTGGTTGTTTTCTTGATATCTGTTAAAAACAGCTAAAGCTTCAAAATAGTGGTGTCATCACTTTTAACCTATTTTTGATTTGAGTACTTGGAATACTATGTATTCACTGTTTTGGAGTACGTCCTTTACAAATGCAGAGTAAAGCGCAGGATGATTAATTGGATAATTTGTATTCAGTTTAAAAAGTGTATCCATGCTTGGAACAGTGCCGACGAGATACAGTCACTGGTTGACTGAAGCCATAAGCCAAGTTAAAGAATGCAATGCACATGTAAAACTAAAGGAAATGAAACACAAAACACCTGCAAAAGTCTCTTTCCTGCACCTGTTGCAGGTTATCATGTTTTCAATTTTACTTTTTAAATCTATTTTAAATCTATTTCAAAACAGTAAAAGACAGTTATTTGTATGTATATTCGGTGCATTCAATAATGAGCTTTAAAATTGAATCTAAGGAAATGTAAGGTCAAAGGTTTATTTTAAAAAAACAAGCATTGAGCAAAATTGTGTAAACATATGTTTTTCTTACATATGTCTTTTCCTGATAAAAGAGCAAACGTTACTAAAAGTAACATGGAAGTATTTTTTTTGTAAGACAATGCTATTGTTTGCACTGTTCTCTAATATTAAAATAGATGTACCATACACACAAGCAGGTATAATAAATTAATGTGAATGTGGTGGTGCATTTCAAATGGGGAAATCACCAGTCAGAATTGTGTAATTCCAATGAATTTGGCTTTACTCTATGCTAAAATATATCCAGGTCTATATTTAATTAAAATGTTGCAGGAACTTTAAAATTGGCACTTACTCTTCACTAATTAGGGTGTTGGAATGGTATTGAATCATCGGGTAATTCTAAATCCCATGTTATGGATTAGCTGTTTTAACAGATTTTTCATCAAGTATTTTTGTTATGGCCACGCAGCTGACTAATACAAAGACAATCTCCCCTTTTCTTCAAAGTTTAAATGATTCATCACGTCATTTGGTCTCTCGTCTGTATCTAAAAAGTTTTAAGACATTAACAATTAACCCATGTTTATTATTAGTAAAAACAACGTTACATTATTAATGTTGATGTTTATTATACGTACTTTCACGTAATAATTCCAGTAAATTTACGGCTGTGCTAATAGCATAATCGTTTTATGACCTGTCCATGGTCCTGAAATCTCTCCAGGCTAAATTAGGGAAATTAAGAATTGATAGGCTGAAGCTGTTCTCCTTGTCTCGGAGAGTTACAAATCTGAAGATTTTATGAAGAATTTGCAAACAATCCATTTTGAAATACTGGGGGGATTTAATACAACTATGTAAAGTTATAGCTTTTAAACTGTTAAAGACTTGTTTAAAAGATTTCTTCCGTTTGGCATCGGATTTAAACAAATTTCACCATTTACATATTAATTTTCCACATGCGTGGCGACATATGGGATAGACACATGAATATGTCACACCATAAGTAATTTTACATATTTAATTTACAAACTGTATAGGGGTTTAAATTTAACTAACTCTCCGTTAAATAATTAGTCGTGATAAGGATAGGATGTGGTGATCTACTGTATATTTCATGGAAAACCTCATTCCAGCTCCTGTCCATCACCATCATTTAAGACTTTACAGATCTAATCCTTTTTTTTTCTTTTCGGACTAAAACTAATATTAATAAAAGTGTGTTTTTTGTTTACATTTCTAAATGCTATTCTTCAGTCAAAAATTTGAGTTCACCTTCAAGGGCTTCCATGGTTTGGATCCTGACTCCATCGGTGAACTCTTAACTCATTTTACGCCTACACGTGGTTTGCGTTTCATTGCCTCTGACCTTGATTTGGTCGGACGAACTCCAGTCTTACAGATGATCAGATACTGCATGTCAGTTAGCACTTTAAACTCCCGTTTTAGAAATTTAAGTGTATAAGGTATCATAGAATTTTGCTTAATTTGCCGTGTTAATATTTGTGTTTACTATTTCTTGTATGATTGTAAAACGCTTTGAGATGATGCACGATGTAAGTCTCTATATAAAAACAATCAACTTATTATTTTATTATACTCTCAAAAGAGTGTTGATCTTGTAAAATATGTCGAATATCCGTTCATATGTTCAGGATCCGCACTATTCTTACGACTGTTGCACTTTTTGAGGCTTAAATAACCCATATAGCCTGAACCATTATGAGTCAAATAAATATATATATATATTATTATGATTGCAAGAGATACAGGTGTGCATATTGTACGTAGTCTGTAACTGTACTTGTTTAATTTTTTGTTATATTCATAAAAAAAACGGAAATAAAAGCACGTTCACATCAATCACAAATACCTGTCTAAATCATATTTAATTTAACCTTATCATCAGCTCTGCACAGTTTGGTGGTATCGACTTTCAAAGCGCGCCTTCATATTTGTCTCAAACAAATGAAATGTAAATGTGTGCGAACTCTGAGTGTGATGCAAACCATGTTCCTGTCCCGTTGAAGTGCCTTGTTCCTTTAAATGTGTCTTCGCACTTAGCCTTCGGAACACTTGTGCTGCTGCTCTGCATCACTGCTCACACTGTGTTGCTAAGCAACTAGGCAGCACACAGATCCCTGCAGAAATTCTCATTTTCTATAAACAAAATAACCTTATTTTTTTGTGCAGTTATTGTAATAGTGAAAACTCCAGTATTTTTTTATCACTTTCTGCTAAAAAGATGTATAAATTTCGGGACTATGCTGGTAGACCTTGTTCTCTGTGACATCAAAGATGGTCCCAAAGTGGCCAGAATTGCATAAAAAATGCACCGGGATACACTTACTGCATTTTAATGGGTTGCAGGAAGAATCGTCTCTTAAAGGCACCATTTCTCAACGTCTTTTTTTCGCCACTCGACGTGGGGGCAAGACAGATCTCTTTCGTCTTTGGTTCAGTGTTATCTTTATTGGCCATTTTTACTGGCATTAATAATTACTTTAAACATTTCGTCAAAGTTGTGATTTTTCCCTTACAATTATATTTAAAGTCGTTGTTTTTTGTTATACGTGATTTATTTCGATTTCATTTAAGCATCATCTGTGCAATGGTGCAATGGACGAAATAACGGAACTACAAAGGTGTACGCGGAATGTACTGCTAGTTATCGCTTAAACAAATGAGACCTATGTTTTTGCAACAAAGCTTGCCTATCTTTCGGCATTCGAAGAAGACTGCAAGATTACTAATACTGTGCTTGTACAGTTACTGATGGAATTCGGGATATTTTAAAATAAAAGGGTATACCTTTTTCACTAAAGGGTTAATATAGCCTGCTCTGACGTCTGAATCTCAATTTGTTCAGTGCATTTTTTTTGCAATGTGCAAATTTTTCCCTTAGTGACTTTGCAATGAGAGGAGCAAATCTACATCATCATCAGCAATAACAAGGGAATGCAGATCACCCCCCCACCCCTCACCCACCCACCCAAACGTTTACATCTGAAAAAAGAAAGAAATCCTTAAACACAAAACACACTGAGGAGCTTTCGCCCCTGGAAGGAGAAGATCTGGAACAATGTGTCTCCTGCAGATCTCGACTGGGAAATTGCAGCAGCTAATCTAACTTGGAAGAAGCTGCTGCATTTTTTTTTCCTTTATGTTACTTTGTTATTTTTAATTATTTTTGTACATTCGTTTATGTACAAGATGCCTGATTTTATGGTGTTGGTAGAAGGGATCTGTGGTTTGCACGGATTTCCTTAGGTGGGAAAATATCTGACGAATTCTTACCTTCATATATATATATATATCCCAGCCTTATTGATTTTCGTGTATTTATTTATTTTTCCAAGTGGATTTTAATTAATTATTTTACTGAATTAGTATTCTTATTATTTCTTATTGTACTATTCGTTTAATTCTTTGGACCAAAGGCGGTTGGATTATTGAAACTGTGAAAAAGGAATAGTGGAAATGTGGGGTCTCCAGGAAGATAAATTATGTGGAATTTTCTGTGCTCTGGCGGCTCTGTCACTTGTCTGCTGTGCTCAAAGGTAAGAAAATATTAAACATTGCATTGAAGTATAAACACGTTTTTGACTTGTACACACGGGTACATAAATACACTTATCACAAGTACACTCAGAAATCCATACGCAAACACCATGATGTGCACACAATTTTTAAAATGAGTACACAACATACACTTTGTGTTTTTCTCCCTTTAAATCCATACTCTTAACACCTGAAACGCTAAAGAAAATGGCAAGAGTCTGCTGTTGATTGAATAGAAATTGACAGCTATACGGGTGTACGTGACAGAAGATCAAACACTAAATCCTATAATTCCACATTTTCAAACACAAAAAATAAGTGCACAAAATTACATTCATGGTGGGGTAAAGGGGTGGAATTATTTGTAGTGGAATGGGCTGAAGTCATGCAAATTACTAAAATATGGATTTTTCAAAGCAAATTGTTGATGTATTGGGGGATAATTCTAACCACGTAGTTTTTTAACCAGTTTTAATTGCACAGACAGGCATTGCACGTGCACAATATCACTTTAAATAATCATAAACGGAGTTTGAAAGATATGCTCTGTTTTATAGCTTATTACCGTGAAATCTCAATGCAATATCGTATTTTCAACAATAAAGTAAATGAAAACAGCGCAGATGTGTGTCAAAAGCAAAGGCTAACACCGATCATTGTGTGAGAGAAGCACAGGTGCAGTCAGGTAAAGACTTTATTTACAGTTATAAATACCTATAAGTAGATTTTTGATGGTATAAGCTTTTCTTTCAGTTATTCTTTTAGAGGATGTTCAAAATATAATTTGTCATTGTTGTATGTAAGATTTCTTTATATATGTGTGAGCAATGGAAATAAAGTAATCAGGGCCATTCTTATTACAATTATTTTTTATTAAAACGTTAAAAAACTGCTTGATAAAACGTAGGCATTGGGCAACTGGATAACCGTTATACTCTATAATGGACGTTTATTGTCGTATTTACTAAACCGCGGTTCTCACGAGTATAAACCAGCTGTAGCCATAACCTGAACAATATGTCTTCCATTTTGATATTGTGATATTTCAATTCTCTTGTTCTGTGTTAGACATATCAATATATTATACCTCAACATGAAATATATTATACATATCACGTGTTCATTTTTATTTTGCTTTGTAATAAGATCTACCAGCGTGAACCCTGACGAAAAAGGCCTTATCTTCGGACACATTTGTCAAGCATTTTATTTCGCAAGGTCTAAAATACAAGAAGTTAATCAAAAAGTCAAGATAATAAATTAATTAACTTTTTTCCCCTTTTATTTTGGTAAATACAAATGCATTTTAATTTTTCTACCAAGCTACTTATTTTTTATCTCTCTGTGTATTTGTATTAATGCAAATATACAGTACCCTGTCATCATGTCTTCAAAAAGCTCGGTTTTCTATTTTATTAATTTTATTTTTAACTGAAATCCAATTCTCTATGAAAGCCTCCCTGGAAGATTAAAAAATGGGGTTTGAGTGCATCCTTTCACAGTAATAGCATTGGTACAGTACCTGAGAATGGAGAATTATAAACAGCCAAAGGAGTTACAGTCTCTGCATCCCAAATTTTTTATGCTGTAATGCCAATTATGGACAGAAATATACTGTATATTGGAACAGTTTTGAAAACCAACAGTTTCAACGATTTCAGTTTAGTATGAAGTCTGGAAAAAAGTATTTTCTAATGTATTATATAACTGCTATGCGTTCGGCAGAAACATTCAACTTTTTCAGATTTAATATTACAAAAATGAAATGCTTAAAATAAATGTGTCATTGTTATTTTTTATCAGCCCTTCCACCGGAAATATATCTGTGGCAAAAAAGACAGTGGACAAATTGCTGAAGGGGTATGACATCCGCCTGCGACCTGATTTCGGAGGTATGATACTGTAAATTTCATTCTGAGACTCTGAACAGTGGTCTCTTTTTTCTTTTCCAGCGAACAGTGGGATTAGCGATAAATTGGCTTTATGCTCATGAAATATGGGAAGTTGTCATTAAATTTAAGTAACAAACTTTAAGACTTCATGTTCATCAGCTCATCCCACAAGCCTCCCTTTCACAAAACAGAACAATCATTTATCTGGGTCTGTCATTTCTGTAGTTAGCCAGTACATAATACAGACATTCAGATATGCTCCAGTCCAGGACAGACAGACAAATGGATCACCATCTGATTAATACTGTAGGTTAGGGGTTAAAAATCATTCTTTGATAATATTAGCCTTGGTCACGGCTTGTTTTTTTGTGAATAAAGTAATAAAAAGGTAATACCCAGATTAATATCTAGAAAGACTCACTAGATATGGCAGACTGTTTTTTTGACAGTAATCAGCCTTATCCTCAGGCCAAACACAGTCCATCATGTATTTCATGTAAGTTCGAGTGTCTGATGTGATTCTACAAAATGGAATAAACAAGCACAGATGTCCAAAAGTTACTTCTGATCAATTCATATTTGATACTTTTGCGTTTTTTCCTTTAGCGGAAACTGTAGTTTCACGAGTAGGAAATGGTTGTCTTCTAATTGTTTGCTGTCCATTCATGCTGATGGTGTGTAAAAGCTGTACAGGTCAAACCTTTACAATGACTGACAATTTATGTTAGCAGTTTTTGCAGGTAGGTCCATTTCAGCTTCATAGACACCCTTGAAGCTCTTATTAGATTGCACGTTTGCAAAAAAAAAGGCACAAGCATAAAAAACTGCAAGACATCTTAAAACTGACAAGATCTAGTTAAAGTGGTTACTTTCTGTTATAAATTGCTTCTGTCATTCAGACAATAATAACATGGCATAACAGGTAAGGTCTGGTAATTTTCTGCTGAAGTATTTTAAGGTGCCACCATTTTGAAAAATATAATGCCACTTCCTTTTAAATGCACCTCTAGATGTTCTAGATTTGTTCTATTAAAACAGTTACATGGGGCTTGGAGTGTTGACACATGTCTACACACAACCCCAACCCTAAACCTAATCTTAGCTCTGACTGTAATCCTAACATTTGTCTTTTCACTAGTCATAAACATGACTTTAATCCTAACTCAAAACCTAGACCTATAGTTAGACTTTTTGGCATGAAGCACCAGGAGTTTTGTAAAGTATATCTGTTCTTTTTACATAAACCAATTGGACTCTCATATGTACATGTTCTTATGCTCAGAGGTTTTCTGGACTGGAGGGTTTTTAAACAGATGGTTTGGTAACATGCTCTTAAACTCTTAATGTTTTAAAGACCCAGTGAATTAGTATATTCATAGTTCAGAAAATTCTACCTATTTGGAAGTCAATATCTCAAAATAAAAAAAAAATCAGTTTAACAAATGGAAACAGCACAGATAAAATTGGAAACATGCACTGACACACACATATATGTGTTTAAAAAGATCTGTATATTTTAAAATCATGTATTCCCACCCTAATTTCTTCTAATAACAGAGTCCAATTGTGTATTTCTCACCTTCTGTCTTCTATTTTGTACACTTGCTGAATTTGCCATTTAAGGCAGAAAATCCATGCTCTGTTAAAGGAAGTAGAGAAAACTGCAAGTGAAAACAAACACACAGGCAGTTCTGACATCCTGATTGACAGGCTTGCTTTCTAAAACATTTACTTTTTGGGGCTGTTAATGAGTTTTAATGATTGCATTTAGTATTTTTCTAAACTCAGGTTTTTGGAAGCAGAGTTGCTGGAAAGAAATGATAAGAAAAAATGCAAAGACAATGACAAAAACAACAAGGGCTTTTTTTAATACAATTAAACTCTTGTAGTTTTTAGAAGTGATTGGTATTCCATTTCAACATCTCAAAAACAATATGTAACATATCCCATTCTGTACGTTCCAGCTAAAAACTAGTTCATGAGTAATGCACTCTGAGTAATGAAGAAACCTGGTTAAATTCAGCACATCTTCTATTACAGTTCACAAACAATCTCAAATCTTTTGAATCTGAGTTTTGATTCTTAAATGGTTCTTGTATTCATACCAAAGCTGTACTGCATATTACTTACCAGTAAAAACTTTTCTGGATTGGTCTGCTGTCCAATGTGAGTGAGAATGGGCTGTAATTGTTCTTGACAATTTTAAGCTTACTTTTATATTTCCCTGGTAACGTAAATACATTAGCTTCCATTATTATACACCTCTCTCCAAAAGTAAGGGATTATCAATTAACTTGAGTTTAGTGATAGCAATTTCAGTCATATTGAGTTCATATTCTTAAAATCACAATTTGCCTTTTGAGTGTTTTCTGAGGGCTGAATAGCTTCCATATTCCCCGTGGTTATGGGTGGTGTGAGTTTTTGATATCCCTACAAGCACAAAAAACATTTTCCAAGAGAAAAGGGTGAGACTTCATTCTTTGCCCTTTTTAACACATACAACCTAGCTATTTTTAAGACGTTTAATAAAGCTCTGAATAATCACTTGACTTGAAAGGGAAGTAGGCAAATATCAACATGTAATATCTTAAATATTATTATTTTCTATAATAGATGATTATGAATCTTTTCTCGTGAGGTAAATCGTGCATGGCATTAACAGGGTGAAGTTGTTCATATTTGCTTACTGGATTGTCTTCTGTCCAGTTGTTTTAAAAACTGTAACACAAGTAATAGAACCACTACCCAGGACCTTAAAGACATATCTGGATGACATATCTATTGCTAGAAGCCAGAAAAAAGTGTACTTGCTGACATCCTGAAGTGAGATAGGTGGGGCCTTAGTGAATTTTGACAAAACATATGAAAACATAGCTGAGGTGTGATTGTCTGAGAGTCTTGGATGCTATCCCTTAACATATGCCTATGAGTGCATTCTCAGGTTTCCTGCCAAATCAGGTCTTGTCCAGGTACAAGCTGAGTTGTCTGGGAGTAGTATGTTTTTCCATTTGGCTTCATTAGCGCACTGCTGGCAAAAGCCATGAAGGACTGACAGAACACAACACTTTCCTTTTTTTGGGTTCTGAGGGTGAAAAAACTGCACCATGAAATGAGCATTTTAAGAGGTAATATAACCCATTCACTTATTGCCACAAACAATATGCATGTAAGTTTATTTGTTACAGTTGTCTTATTGTGGTATTATGAGATAAAGAAGGGTAATTTCAGCATCAGAAAATGAAAAAAAAAACCATCATCCAACAGTCTACCTTTGTGAGACAGTGTAAAGTTCTGATGCTGGAGAAATTTACACTGACTACTGTATTTGTCTGATCATTTTCCTCATAATTTAAGTAAGGACAGAAAATTGTATGAAATGATTGGGAATCTTTTTTAATTTTCTCAAGGTTCCATTCCAGTGGCACAAAAAATAATGTTTTTCAACTTAAATAAACTTAAATAGGTAATAAGTCTGTTATATGTGGTATGTAAATCTGGTCCAATAGAGTATCGCTTTTAGTTCAAGTTTAATTCTACCCTATGCTTTATTGCACCAGTTCTTTTCCATATTTATTTGTTTTTGCTGTGATTTATCAACCAAAAGCATATGGAGTTATTATCAGACAAGGTCACAGCCAAGCAGAAACAGATATCACCAAGGGATGAACATACCAAATTTAATTAAACATTAAGGCCCAACAAATTTGTTAATTAGTAATGCGCCTAAGAATGTTCACCTTAGAATTAATTCCCAGGCTTTTACATTATAGGCTCTAAAAATGTTAGCATGTCTAGAATAAGATCTGCATGGTGGCACTGTGGTTAGCATTGCTGCCTTGCAGCACTGGGGCCCTGAGTTTCATTCCTGGGGTGCTGCATGGAGTTTGAATGTTCTCCCTGTGGTTTCATGGGTTTCTTCCCACAGTCTAGAGACATGCTGGTAGATTTTTTGGCTTCTGGGAAAACAGTCCCTAATGTGAATGTATGTCTGTGTGCCCCGGTGATGGACTGGCATCCTGTCCAGGTGTATCTTGCCCTGTGCCATTTGTTTGCTGGGACAAGCACCCTCTCCCTGCGACGATGGATTCGATAAAGAGTTTAGAAAAAGGATGGGTGGACATCTAGAGAAAAGGAAGAAAAAAGAAAACAGGAAAAACAGACCTCGCGTACACTTGTTAATCTGGTTTCTAATTACAAAATACTTTCAAAATATGAATGGGTACAATATTGCCTGATGTGTGACACTTACATAAAGTATGCATGAGATTAGCAATCTTGGTCTCCAGATTGCCCATTACTGGCTGGCTTACTGACATCAGTTATTAGCTACAGTAGATATAAGGTAGCCAATATGAGCTTAGTGAGGTTCAATTCTGGTGAATGGCCACGCAGTAGCAGTGTTCTGGTGCCTTGATTTGAGTTTCTGTCTTTGTATGATTACATGGGTAATTTTATTCAGGACACCACCTTGACCATTCTATGATGAAGTTTAATGTTCTGAAAGTGTGAAAAAACACACTGGTTAACTGTGTGTAATTTACCACTCAGAAATTGAAAATAAAAGTATCTGAGAGTACCTGAATCAGTTAAAAGCATATGCATATTTTTCACACAATCACAAAGATCACAAAAATTCATCAGAAAAAAGATCATAACATTTAAAGTACAACATGCTAACATGTACCAAGTTATACGTTACTTGTACAGTCTACATATTATACATTTCTAGTTTTAAAACCACACTCCTAGCGTTATAAGACACTACTAACATAATATATTACAAAAAACTTTTATAAAAGTTTTATAAAACTCTACTCCTACATGCCCTGCTTTTCATAACTTCATATATAACTGCCTCTCCTGAGTACACCACCCAAACATATGTCCAGTTCATATTTGATTTATGACTATTTTAGCAATACTTTTCTCACCATTTTTAGACATCCTAAAATATGACAAACTAAAATGGCTAAGCCCTTGCATATCTTGTTAGATAAAGC